GGTACGTGAATCTAGGACATTGATGTAAAGAGGAATAGGTTAGGTACGTGAATCTGTCACACTGATGTACAGACGAAAAGGTTAGGTTCGTGAATCAGGGACATGGGTGTATTGACGAATGGGTTAGGACATTGATACGCAGAGGGATAGGTTAGGTACGTGAATCTGGGACATGAATGTACTGACGAATGGTACGGGAATAGGGGATGTTGATGTACAGACGAATGGGTTAGATACGTGGATCCGAGATATAGATGAATAGGTTAGGCACGTGAAGCCGGGGCATTACAAGTGAATAAGGAATAAGTAACACAAACTTCTAGACTCTCATAATGCGGGCGCGTTAAATGAGTGTTATAGTGATATGGGTACGGTACTGTTTCTCCAGATCATTACGAAATGAAATGGGGTTTTGACGTCCTGTTCTGATTAGTACGGGCAGAATATGAAAAGAGCAGCTACTAAATACATCTCAAGATGGTGGTTATCCATAAGATTCAGTGCTGAATTGAGGCATACGCTATTAACAACCTTCAAATCTGAAAATAGCTCACAAAAGTTTATGAGCCATTAATTATCTTAATTGAAAGGCAAAAATATGTTATTATTTTTTTTCTAAGCGACACAAGGGTCAGTTTTGGTACGTTCCTTTGTGCGACATTAGAGCTTCACCTAGTTTAAATCGGGTGTGGATGAGATCCCAAGAAATTATTTTTCAACTTCATAATATATTATTCTGTCTTATTTCAAACCATAGCATCTTGTCCTGCTATAAAGAAGCCTTACTGTTGACAATTAAAAATGATATCGTTTGTAAGCCGGATTAAACGGTTCCCCAAATTAATATTGAAAAATGTTTATTTTATATAAATAATTTTGTCATATGAAACTGAAACTTGTATATGTTTTTGCCAAATAAATCTATTTATCTTCTGACATTTGTGTGAGTGTGACGGACCGTAACTAGAATATACCCCCTTTCCACTGCTGATACAAGGGCCTCTATTACATTTTCAGACAGGGGTCCCATACAAGCTTAATCTGGTCCTACAGGCCTACATTGTCCTAATTCACTGACCTACAATGTTACATGTAAGATATCCATATGGCAAAACATTTTGGTGTTTACCGTTTCGTCAGAAGTGTTTGACTATATCCTGAGCTATTTTGATTGAATATTTGGATGGTTGATAGCCCGGTATATTTCCAACATGTTATGTATGTTTTGCTGATGTAATTTGAGTCCACCGACATCGGTCAGCATCATTTCTACATATTTATAATGCTCGAAGATGTTTCAAAATCAATTCAAGTAAACACCAACATTTTATTGCCCTTGTATACTATTTAAGATGGGTATATTAACCAGTTAAAAATACGGGAGTTTATCACTTATATTGTTGAGGTTTTCACACGCTTGTTCAAAGATAGATTGTTGGTTGTCTCCTTTTTAAAATAATTATAGTCTGTTCTAAATATATTCTGGATGTGATGTTATAATAAATCAATTAAATTTAATGTCATGTCGAAAATCATATACATTTGTCAAAAGATGGTGTACAACTGATTTTAACAAATTGTAGCATGATTTCGATCTATCTAATTATGAACATAAAAGGCGGCGTGAATTTTAAAACCATATCTAACAATTGGTGTAGATTTCATTTACAGACATAACATATCCACAACAACAATATTTGGCGCCAAATCTAAAATTTTGCCGGCAGAAGAGATGGTGAATGGTGTTTTTTGCAGACGTTATTCTCATGTTGTATTGTTAACTAGCGTAACATAAACCCATTGCCGAGAAGACGGATAAATGAACTTAATTTGTAACTAACTCGTCAGAAAGGAACAAAATGCCAAAAAATAATGAGAAACTCTTCCATGCGTAGAAAAATAGAAATACTAGACGAAAATGGAGAAAGGCAAAATATGAGCCGATTTTCTCAGTTCAGGATCAAGCAAAAGCAAACGTGTTATATCAATACGGCGATTTGGTTGTCGTATTGCGCACACCAATAGGCTTAATTTTACCTTTTTATTTATTTTCTCTAACACAACATTAAAGATACATTATGGGAGCTTAGATAAAGAGCTGGCAGTTCTCACTATAATAGTTAAAAACTAGATAATGTTAAGGGAATTGATGAAAATGTCAGTCAAATTGATCCACTCTGAACCGAGATTTTAGCGATTGAATTTTCGACCTAGCCTTGATCATCATTACTAAAGTCGGTACGATAAAAACATAGTCTCGATTATCCATTTCATGATTAAATCATGAATGGAAGTCTAACAGCAAATCGGAACCTAATCCAATAAACATCGCAGGCTAGCGATGACATCGAGAGTTGATTATGGTTTGGATAAGTTAATTAATGTCTAATAATTTAGATAACATTTCAGGCTTAAAGAAAGACCTGAAATAGGCAGATTTAGCTCTTTCATAATGTATGTTTAATATGAGACATGTTTAAGTATAAATGTTGTATTGCTGAGTTACCAAATCACGTCATCGTCAGAATCGTCTTTCCATTTCAACTGACTCTCCAAACACAGAGACGTGTATAAGTGTGTGGACGGCGAGATGGCTGGGGGGCGGGGTATATTCAGATATGCCAGATTACTGACATAATCGGTGAAGATAATGCAGCTTTAGTTTTGGGACGACCCCACTCTTTGGGGAGATCTTGGTAAGTTATTGTTCGTGAATGATGTTCAGATTGGGCTGTACCGGCGCTTTTTGTACAAAGCTAAGAATAGAATTTGAATGTCTCGTTCTTTTCGGAAGGCCTTGTCACTCTCCCCACGTCCTTTTCGATCTCCAGATGGTACCAAACCGATTTATTAAAATTTATCGGACATAAAACGCAGCTTTTGGTTAGGAGTTTTTTCAGTTTTGTGCACAAATTTCTGCATGAAGGAATTAGAATAGTCAAGTAATATTTATATCACATTAATCTACTTTTTATTGTCATTTTATGATGATAAATATTTCTTGTGAAGTGGTTTAAAGATATATTACTTTGAGATCAATACAAGGAGATAAAACGGTCTACAAAAGAGAACCAGATAATTCTAACTAATTCCCCGATTTCCATATAATACACCGGTACAATGGACTAAAAATGGTTTCATGTGAATCGCACGGGGAGAATTTTGTCGTACAGCAACATTTCCGCCGACTAGACACACTTTCCTAGACAACCCCATTGTACCAACCTGGGCATTGTACCAACCTGGGCAAGAGGGAACAATCCCACAGGTTCTTCTGGGCCCTGTCCGGGATACAAACTCGGGACATTCTGGCAGCACGGCTTGTTCCCCAGCCACCGATTATCACTGCCCTTTGGAAAGGGTAAGAGAATTCAAGCCTGTAAAGTGGGATAATAGCACATCCTATTCTATCAACCTGGGCCCTTATTCACAAAAACAGAAACTAAGTTACAACAGAAATTTTAAGAAATACTGCAACTTCATTGGATATATGCAAATTGATTTTACTGGTCAGCCAATCGAATTGCAGTATTTCTTAAAATTTCGATTGTATCTTAGTTTACGTTTTCGTGAATAAGGGCCCAGGTAATTATTTCTTTGAAAATCTATGAGTTAACTGCCACGGTTTCATCATCACAGAGAAAGAGAGAGAGAGAGGGGGGAGGAGGGTTTAACGTCCACTCGACACAAACTAGGTCATTTCGAGACTAACATATAGTTCAATTTTATTTCAATAATTCGCTTGTGCGTAAGGAACACAGGAGGACCTGGAGAAAACCCACGAGGTTGGCCAGGCGACCCTACTCCTTGTGTACAACCGGGGAATCGAAACCACTCCAGTTAACTCAGTGACAGACCTTATAATACAGTGCGCACGCGCTAACCATTCGGCCATCCAACCCCACTTATCACAGAGAAGGACGATAGGTAATCCAATTTAATGTCCATGAAAAAACTAGGATTTTTGAGAGTAAAGGTACTTCATTATATTGATAATTTGTTTGCACATGGTTTTATTGGCATAGAGAAGTAACCAACAGATCCCAGAAAAGACTCTAATTCAGTCACAGGATTGATACCACAATCAAGTTTTTATTTTAGAAATCATTCTAAAAACCTATTTTCTTAAATAGGCAGCAGTAATGCTTAGTTGTCTCTGGCTCCTTTTTTTTCCGAAAAATTTTTTCAATATGATATGAACTGACTAAGCAGTTACCTTGGGCATGTTCAAAGTGGATTGTATGCAAAATCTGACAATAATCTGGAAATATGTCACTGAAATATAGATGTTTTAACTATCAATTTTCGATTTGTACAAATATTTCCGTGGTTTTCTTGGGAGTCCAATTCAATCTAACTTAATTCTAAATAGGTCAGTCAGTTTGCTTGTTTCTATATTTAGTTGAGGTAAAGGTGATTTTGAATATTATAATATTCAAATTAAATGACATTTATTTCCACCGTGAAAGGGACGTTCTTTCCTAATTTCAGTCGTTCCAAATTTGATGTATGATGTTTTTAATCCAAACCCTGACACTAACCAATTAGCTTATATTTGCACTAGTCAGCAACTATTTTACAGCTGTCCACCATTGAAATGCGGGGGGTTGGATGGCTGAATGGTTAGCGTGCGCGCGCTGTATCATAAAGTCTGTCATTGAGTCGACTGGCGTGGTTTCGAATCCCCGGTTGTATGTGGCAAGGAGTAGGGTCGCATGTCCAACCTCGTGGGTTTTCTCCGGGTCCTCCGGTTTCCTCCCACTGCTAAAGACCCCTACGCGCAAGCAAATTATTGAAATAAAATTAAACCATATGTTAGTCCCGAAATGACCTAGTTTGTGTCGAGTGGACGTTAAACCCCATTTCTCTCTCTCTCTCTCTCCATTGAAATGCCTTTTCTCTCTCCATTAAATAAAGTATGTGTTGCTATCTGAGGTGCTCATTTATTCAAGATTCCCCCCAATTGTCTTTTCAAAGATCATAAACAAAAAATAAACAAATTTTCTTCTTTTTTTTAGTATTATCATTTTTCTTTATTCACTGAACATTTCTGTTACAGAAAGTGGCAGTTGGTCGTCTGCCATCTCTAAAACAACTCCACAACCACCAGCTTCAAATATCCGAATACAAAAACAAAATGTACAGATACTACACGCAGTGGTCAACAAATTCCACACAGTTAGCAGACCTACTTATATTATAATAATAATATTAATAATAATAATAATAATATTGTCATCTTGTGGGCACCAGTTTCTAAAAAAAAAAAAAGAAAAAGAAATAACCCCGAAACATTTTCGGGTTTATTATTAACAAATAACTATATTATAACAAATAGCAGATTTTTTTTCATGTTTCAAAAAATATGAAATGAATAATGATGGTCTATATTAAAATTTGTACAAATGTCAAAAATAATATGATTTAAATATATGAATAATACTTTCTTTTTTAATTTGGTAGCACTTTTGCTACATTCTGTGTCATCTATTTTTACACAGAGTCATGATTGATGTCTTAATGTTTTAACACTTATTCATTTATTTTCTACCATGTCTTGTCATGTCACTAAGTTAACCTGTCATAGAATTAATTAACAGGTTAATTGGAGACAAGGAAAATATCAAACTAAAGCTTTTTGCCTGTTTTTTTAATATCTGTAAAATATGATATGTTGTGGAAAAAAAATAACTAGAGTTATTTCCCCTCGATTGAGATTTACACTTCAAAAAATAAATAAATATCACATTTATAAAAACATTAATAAATTCTCGTTTTGGGTTGAGGTGCATATCATCCATTCTCTAAGTCAATATTCAAAATTCAGTAAATTATTGTCTAAAATAAAAATAATTACTAAATAATAATGTCTTAATTGTTTTTAGCCATTCCATAAAATTGTAGTGATTTGACAAAAAATAAAAGAAATACATTTAAAGCTTTAGAGTGTGTTTTTGTTTTTTTACCAAATTTATAATTGGTAAACATTGACTAGATTATATGATAGATTTGTTCACATTAAAAACTGACATGGAAAAAAATAACATAAAATCCATGCGAAATATGGTGGGAAATTTGTAAAAACATTGAATTCAATTTCCAATTCTAACATTCCCCAAAATAGGTGTTGTCAATGTTGTGCTCATTTTCCAATCTCCTTCGCACAAATAATCATTTTTATGTATAGTTTCGATTTTTTCAAATTCTGGGATAACAGAATTTTGTAGAACATATATAACCATGAATAGTTGTTTGTTAATTTTTTTAAGTAATTTTACATTGATCAATGCATTATTTTGGGAGATGTTACTCAAACAAAAGATAACCTTATTTCTACGATTAGCATGGATATAAATACCCCCGTCCCATCTTCCCCATTTATAAGATTCATAAAACCTAATATTCTTTGTGCCATCTGCTTAATACATATAGGACATCCTAATACTACTGACCATTTTTTAAAACTAAAGCTCTTCTTTCTTATTTTACAAAGTCTGCTTTGGTCATTACGATTGCCCATTGGCAGTATAACACATAATGTTTGGTAGTGACCATGTTATTGTAATAAATAACATGAAATGTACCAAATAATGTTAAAACATAACACATTATGTTAAAACACGGCTGTACACAGTAACACTGATTTTTACTTCAATAAATTAATTTTGGAATGCATGTACACTTAATGTAATCTTCAACACAGCATCGTAATAAAAGCATTAAATTTAATCATAATGAGGTATTTGACTTCATAAAGCTTTAAACATTTTGTATGATGAGTCTTAAAAGGGCTAAAACATACATAATTTGGCTAAGATTTTTTTGTTCCAATGTTGGTATTTTTTTTACTGAAAACATACACCTATGAAAATAAAATAACACAGCATTTTCATATATATAATATGTACATGCTGTCAAAACAGTCTATGTGTAAGGAGCTAGCTTATGGCTTGCCATGGACTTGTATATCTTTTTTTGTCGGACACAGCGAGTTTTTTTTTATTTACACCACATCCTCTCGCTGTGACAACATAAAGTTTTATATATTCATAGTCTATATATAGAAGTCTTCACCAGGATTAAGACAAATTCACTATAATTAATGTCACATGTGACTAGGTCCTGGTACGTACGTAGTATTATTATTACATTAAAATTCAACAGTAAAAATAACTGTTATAAAAGTCTTTGGCTTATAGGAATCATATTCCTTACATAAAATCATCCACTGACACAAATAGTTGTGCATTCAATCCATGACCTTCACCTTCCAATCACCTTGACCTTTTAACACTGAGGTCAATCACTGATAGTGCCACTTGTTTCCTAGCAACTAGAAGAAACCTTCTTCACATGATTCATATGGCTGGAATATGTCAGTAATGGCCACTAATTTTTGGTTGTCACAACAGAAAATGTCCTCACTATCCTCACAATCAATCTTGTTGAAAATGTGACATGGTTTCTGAAAGTGGCTACTTTTTATTTGTTTTAATTGCTACACCAATAAAGTTGTCTATATTTTTATTGTTCGATTATCCAGCATGGATGTCTTGTATGTGACCTCCCATGTCCATACCAGCGTGTAACGGAGGACTAGTAGCTGCCGACATACCATGTCCCATACCAGCGGCAGCATGTCCCATCATCATATGATGAGGATGCCCTGGAATCAGCATAGCTTGAGAATGTACTGGTGGACTAAACTGTGACATGTTACCATAGGAACTGCTGGGGGGACCACCGTACATATCACTTCTGTGCATGCCCTGGACACCTAACATGTGATCGTAACGTTGAGAACTGTCTGTCAAATGAGAATAACCAGCTTTCATTGGATCATACATATCAGCGCTATGAATACCTCCTAATCCTGAAAATCAAATGGAAATGAAATTAAACAAAATCACTAAAGATATTTTTTAAAATTAAAAATCGCTATCCAAATCTACTTTTAATTTATCTACTTTATAAATGAAAATATTTTGTCTCATCAGCATATGACATGCTTTATTATAGATATACATACTGTGCGCACCCATTTGCATGTGAGAGTTGTCCATATATCCCATTCCGGATCCATCTGGACTGTAGGGAGCATGAGATCCAGGTCCTAAAATAAGAAAGAAACAAAAATTAAAAGGCATTCTTTTACTTAATCTACTTTTTAAAGGAAATTAAACTTTTGATAATTTTACAAGTACATGTTTTATAGTTTTTAAATTCCATACAAAAGAACCCCCAAAATTGATAACTCATGATCCGTAAACTTCTAAAATAAATATTCTTGAATAAGTTGTGTCGTCTTCTCTGATTTTCCAGTAACCTAGGATGATGTCTGTACTTCTAGTAAGCAAGTAAATCATTAAACTAGAAGTGGTATTAGGTGTTCTAGAAATGACAAACAGTCTGAATAAGTTGTGTTGTCTGCTCTGATATTCCAGAAAGCGTGCCTGTACTTTTAGTAACTAAGTAAATCAATAAAGAGACCATTATATCTTCTATTATATAGACAAGAAGGTAAAGACCTCTAAATCTAATGGACATAAAATAATTTATTCTTAAACAAAAGAGACATTTCCTCACGATTGCTTCAATCCACTGAACATTCTTAGCTCAATGGCCACATATAAATCAACCAATAAGACTTGTGACAATATTTATGTGCATGACTGCTGATCTATGACTACTTCTCGTGACAATTGTCAATGGCATCGAACATGTGAGTCAAGTCACTGCGAAACCTTGCCACGAGTAACACTGACGATTGGATAATCTATTTTTGTTTGAAGTAAACGGCACTGGGAGACGGGGAGAACAATGTATGTCTAAATGGATACCATAATGTTTTAAATTATTCACTAACTCAATTAGACTATTTTGACACATTTACGTCCCAACTTGAATAATTGTTATGTACTTGTAAATTATCCTGGGTTAATTTCCTTTATATTCATTTCTTACGACTTTTTGATCTAAAAGGGATTTGAGATGTTAAAAGACTATTAGAACAGTTCGAGCAGAAAGAGACATGCAGCAGATATCATTAAATAAAAATAAAATCAATGACTATCTTGAATTAATGATTGCAGAGGATGAAAACTGTCGACAATAAACTCGACAGATTTAATATTTATTTTACACACTACTAGATCAGATATAAAAAAATATTTAGTAGTTTTCATTACTGCAGTTATAACAATAATAAAAAAAAGTTTTTCATTAATTCTGTTTAAATAGTAATATTGCTTAATGATCAGTAAAGATAAAAAATATTCATTTAAATTTTCAGTAAAAACCGAAGAGAGAGTGAAGAAAAGATGTGGAAAAGAGACAAATAAAAGGGTGGAAACATGCAGGGTAGTAAAAATGAATAAAGGAACAAAAATAGAAAAGCAAAACAAAATCATGCAGTGCAAGGTTCTAAAATTTGATTGGAAAAATAAATTAAAATGTCAATAGAAAAAGGTTAGGAATCTTTTAGGATGGGATCAAGCTAAAGGCATGCAAATAATTTTTTCCTTCTTCAGAATTTGTAAGTCATCCTTGTGATGTCTTGACCTTCACCAGGCAGTAAAGGTCATTGGTCACATAGTCTCTTTCCCTCTCTCCAGTTGGTAGTTTTCTGTGAACATGTGACTCGAATGTTACCTGGTGAGAGGCCGAGAGGATCGGCAGATGACGACTTACGCCTCCTATTTTTGAAGACTGTAACTAGTTGTGACTTGCCTGCTCGATTTGATTGGTCGATCATCGGTTGCACGATTCTCCTTCTAGCGTTAATAAACCTGAAAATAAAAATATGTACAATTAAGACAATTGTCAAAAATAAAACAAATAAAATTTTAAATACATTTTAAAGAATTATTGAATTTATTCTTTTTATAAACTTATAACAAGTATTTCCAGTATTGTTTATGTATTCTGTAATGTGTTAATGTTTGAATGACGTATGAAGATGTATGGTGAGTTGCATGTGTTATATCTATATGATCAAATCTAAACTTCTAATAATAACCAGCCATCAATACCACAAATGTTCTATATTTTAAATACCAGTTCATATTTTATTACATCTTAATGGAGAAACTACATATTCTTAAAGTCAACTTTCTCATACTAATCATCCTTTAGCATCATATTATAAAGATGCTTATCTTTAAAACGGTGTTTGTCATATTGCTTTATAGTCATTTTACAGCTAAAACCCTTCAAGTTTGATGGCAGTTTTCTGTCTTTCTAATCAGTTCTATAAAACGCGGGTTGTTTAACACGGCAAAGACATGCTCTGTACATTTTTATGATGTTACTTGTCAGTTGAGCCATGAAAATTGCAAAACTTGATATCAATTGTTTTGGGTTTTTTTTAGGGGATGTGAATATAAGGACATTGATATTGCATAAATTATATGATGACAAAAAAAATTCACTGAGTAGTCTGTCTTATAATAATAGATTTTGTCGATCATGAGAGTTGTCTCTCGTCTCAGTGTTGACGTCGTCCAACGGAATGAGATGGAATAAGTTTGGATGAAATGATTCTTTCAAATTCTTCATATTCTTAGAGTAAATTAAAGGATCAAGAAAAGATAAAATTGTAATCAAAAGTTTTCCTTTGTGTAGTTTAAAAGGTCATTTGGATGGGAGTAGTGTAGAATGAGTTTGGTTTGTTTCGGTGCAGGGTATCCTCTAGGGGGTGATATATCATATAGCTACCGGCTATTTACTAGACTTGGATATAGTGAATATGATGTATTGAGTGATTGTACACAACATCTAGTCATCCATCATATTGAGTTCTTGTACCACCTTATTCTAGGTAATTGGACTTGCCTTTGACGCTATATGTAATTAAACAGTCTTTTTACAGTCCTTAACTAGTTTAATGGGTCTCTCGAGCATAGTCAAAACAAAACATACTTAATTTTTTCTTAAATTTATTATATCAAATAATTTTCATAATATCAATCAAGTAAACTTTTTTTTAAAAATGGAGAACTCATTCAGGATTTCAAAGTTTTTGGAGAGAATATAATGAGTACATATTCTATTTTGCACCTAATATCCAATACTGTTGATCTACAGTTTTTAAAATCAAAATCTGATCACAGAACACAAAAAATATCCTTAACAGATGAAATTTGAAAATTACTGCTGAATTTCATAAAAGAAAAAACCCAACCCAAAGCTGTGTAAAAATTAGAAAGCAATTAGAATTGTGTGAATTTTTGCCGATATGTCAGAAGACAGAATGAGACATGATTCATTACAAGATACACATTAAAGGCGCCAGGCAGGATAGGATTGCCGCTTGGCAATTTGTGTCAGGTTAGAACTGGGTTGACTAAAACTCATTAAAAGACTGGAATTCTGACCTCCTCACCCTCATTTACGGTTGGAATTACCCCCAAAATTACATCATTAGTTTTAACTTGCTGAATTTATTATTTGGGCTAAATGTTGAGATAAATTGAAATTTTCCACTTGTTTTCAATATAAAGACAATAAATTTACTTAACGACTGTCTTATTAGCCCACAAATGGTACATAAAGAAAAAACTAATGTGCGGGTATACATAAAGTTTAACCTCAATTGACCCGACGATTTTTAATGTTCCTGTTCAGATTTCACAGAAAATTGTTTTTCTTTCCTTCTTATCAGATGTAATCAAATAATTAGAGGGATTACATCACTTTAAATACAAATATATTCCTTGATTCTAATTTTGGTTTTAAGAGGTTATGCAAAAATAAAATATTACTTAGACCACACTTATTCGATTTTCTATTCCTCAGGGTCTTAATATATAGGCACTTGAATCATGTGAAACATGTTAAGTTTAAAATTTCAAAACTTAAAAAATTGGAACCAAAAGCTTTCGAACAGCATAACCAAGTCCTTTAGTTTGTTTTTTTTAAATAGGTCTTTTTCCAGAAAAATTAAGGAGGACATTTTTTACAGGTATTCCCAAAGAACAGAAAATTAAATTTGTGCAACCAACTGTACTCCTACAAAAATTAGAAAACAATTACCATAATACAATGGTAAATATTATTTCTAGACCATGTACAAGAAGCTGTCTGAAGTTGTTTGTAGGTTAACTTTGTTTTGGTATTTTACTGGCCAGCTTTCTTATTATCTGTATTATATTTCTGTCTGACTGTTAGTCTGTCTTGCTATCATTATAAGTCTATGTGTATTAGGTTACTGCCTGATGAGATTAAGGAATGTAGATAGACCAACTTCTGGCCTGTCCACTGGTGAAAGCCTTCACTTAAATGATTTTCCATCTTTTTTAACTTGTATTATTGTTCATTACATTAGGGACCATCGCAACACTTCTAAATGAATATCCTGAGAAACTTGGTGTGTGGTTTGAAAGACACTGTGGATACAAAATATCCGTTATTTAATATGTCAAGATTTTCTTACTTTGTTGGCGCAGATGGGCTGGTTAGTCAGTCGAGATGTATAAATTTTGCCACGATCCCTTACATCTACATTTAGAATCTATTAGACATTCAACTTTAAAAATTTTGAACTTGGATACAAAATGGTTCAGTTTGTTTTCTGCAAACCTATGATTAGTGAAATTAAAAACTTTTCCTTTTTCATACACACTTAATCTCTTAGAAATAGCTCTTGCTTTTGTTAGGAATGTTAAAAGGTTAGAAATTTATCATATTTTCAGTGAAATTTCATATTGGAAAAATTTAAAATAATTATAAGTTTTATTCTCCACTTATCTGATATCACCTTCCCCCATTCAAATGATATCATTTTAATCTTAATATTCCTAATATTTTGAAACATGAAGTGGGTGGGATTATTTGGGTCTGTAATTAAAGAATGTTTATTATCATAGAGTCAGCTGGTAATAATAAACCAATAGTAAAATATCTGTCTCCCTTAGGTGTATTAAAATAGCTTCAGGCTACTACTAAATAGACAGAGGTGTAATTGAAACTAACTAGCTAAAGACAGTACCATTAATGCGATTATATTTAATCATTAAGTTATCTCCCTTTTAATCAAATTCATTTCTATAATGAATCTAGACATTTTCAAGATTTTTTCCAATGAATTAAATTTGAAAACTGAATTAATTAAACATCTGAACTAAAATCAAAATATACAAATAAAAAAAAATACCACAAAAATAAATTTTCCCCAAAATTCTGTTTTCTGAAATCAATGAATTATCTATTAGTGCATAAAGCTGACTTTTGACAGGAGATCTGTTTAATCCATTTACCTAATTACTCAAGAACCGTTAGAACTAAATAATAGGGTGATGAAGTCAATTCCTACAGGTCTACTAATATTTCACTTTAACCAATTCAATTAATGATATAAACTATATGATTTCTCCATACAATGTCCAACCATTGTAAAACAGGTTAAAAGATTCATTTAGCTGCGATATCGAAATCCAGGAAACTGAAATACCTACTTTAGAAACAACAGAGTCAGATATCTTCTTACACCCAAGTGTCCATGCGCCTAAAACTATTGAAATTCAATCCCATGCCAGCTAATGAAATATTAAATTGTATAATTTAATAAATTTGTATTTCTGATTCCAGAGTCTATGGAGATTTGGTAATGCTCCACCAATTTGATGGATTAGCAAAGAATATCATGAAAGATTAAATGACCTGTCATAGATGAAGAGGAATAATATGACAGCTTTAAAGACAGGTTGAAACACTATAGTATTGTTTACATGATAAATGTTAGTGTGAAACAATACCTTATATATCACCCATTACATACAACTGATCAGTTTACTACACAACACAGATATTTGTGCTTTTCGAAGAAAATCGAACCCAATTCTGAAACAATGCTCTTATCTTTTTGGATTAAAATTCTTTCATTCAAAGCCACACATTCCACTGATGAACTTTTCGGACAATTTATAATTTTACATAGCTTAAAATGCACTCAAATTGATTATTTAACATTTAATTAAAAAAAAAATACCAAAATATCAAGAGGAGATAATCTCATGGTGTGGATTCAATTGGATTAATAAAGATACCCATCAAAAGATTTTACCAAACACTTACAAGTGGCAATGGCTTATTTATAAGATCTGTAGAGATTGCTGCTTTCAATTCATCATATTTTTGTAAATACTAAATGGAACTGAACCGTTTCTGGACAGCTATTCCTGTTAGGGATTTAAATTTAACAATATTGTTGATTTCAAGGGATTCAAATTCCTTCAAATGATAATCAGAGCTTTTAAATACGTTATATAAGGGATCAAGAAAATTAAAATACTAAGGAATGACAAATACAGAATTAGAAGCATGAACGGAAAAGGAAAGTATTTTGTAGAGGACTTATGTAGACTATTATTAAAAGGCAAATCACAGCAGATTATTTTTAATCTGTCAAAAGAGTCTGGTAAAGTTGTTACTTATTCAATATATAAGACTTTAGTGGCCATTACATGTTCTTAGTAGAATATTAACAAAAGATTTCAGCGCTTAAGCTCCAGCAAAATATCTTTTAAGTAAAAACACAGAATTCCCTCGTGTCGTGGGTCTCATTTTTAGTAATGTGAAAAACACTAATCCCTGTCAACTATAAATCTGTAAAATTCAAAGACGAAATGGGCTTCAAGTGCCACAGTGCTCATTATTTCTGGTGTCCAAGGAATTGCATATAGATTTGTCAACTAAAAAAAATAATAATACCAAACCCTTTCCTAGAACGATTTGAAAATTTATAAAAATTCTCATAATTTAGAAGGATAGTGTCATTTTGTTTACATGA